TTGATTAAGTTAAAGTCAACTGATTAGGGACCTGAATCATATCTGCAAAATCTCTTTATCATTGCCATATATCATAACATAATCATGGGAGTGATATCTCTACACTTGACTAAAAGCAAATTATAGCTGTTGCCCACACTCAAGGGGATTATACAAGGGTGTGGGTCATTGGGGGTCACCCTAGGATCCTGCCTACCACAGTGTTTTCTTTTGTAAATGATTTTTTCTGTTGTTATTTGAACATGTTTTAAAAGTGAAGTTATTTTAAAAGGTGATTTAAAAAATGGGCCCTGGTGTCAGATGCTAGGCTAAGGAAAATACCTTCTCTGAACTTGGAGCTTTTACTTACTTTTATTTAGGGGACCAGCTGTACACAGTTATTAAGGGAGTGGAAAGAAGCCTGGAGTGAGTTATAATTAGAGAAACCCGCATCATCAATTTGAAATACTGCAAGAGCTTCCTAACCAGTCTCTTGGCTGCTGGTCTTGAATCTCACACCTGCCTCTACTTGCAGTCAAGGTGATCTTCCCAAAATGCTCATCCAATCATGCCCCTACCCTGCTTAAAATATTTCTGCTGACTATTATATGGAACCCAAGCTCTCCAGCCTCCTAGGAAAGCACTGCCGTGCCGTACAGCTTCATGTACCAACACAGCCTTCACGTGCCCTTCATTCACATTCAGCTGAGGCAGTGGCGGTAGGCGGTAAGAGGAGGGGGTGGATTTGAAAGACACTGAGTAGGTAGAACGACCTGGATGTGGTAAGGGAGGAAGAGCCTGCTCCGTGCACAGAAATAAGTGCAGGTGCAGTAGCAGATGTGGAGAGAGGAGTTCAGTTTGAGGTCGCTGTGGAACATCGCGCCCAAGGACTTCTTGCATGCCTGACCCTCTACTGGATACTGTGGCATCTATAAAGGAAGTGCCAAGCATGCCCTCTACAGAGATGAGAATCTCTGTGACATTAGGAAATTATGGATTCACAGGAGAAGAGGGGCAACAGAAGGATTATCAGCGGTGGTAGATTACAGAGGTGGGGTGGTAAAAATGTCAGTTAATAGCTGAATGGACTTTTCTCCACTCCATGAAGTACCCAATAAAAGCCATGGCATATGCGTTGCTTTTCATTGTTTCTGTGGATTAAATGTTTAAATAATGGGAGACATCATTAGGACCTAATTTGGGGGTGCCCAAAGGAAATATCATGAAGAGAGGTTTGAAACTTGTCCTGGTTATCTCAGATTAACTTTGTCTTTCCAAGTGTCTTTTGTCTCTTGGCCTCACACAATCTGGTTACAAATCTTGAAGTTCTCTTGTGGTTGTTTTGGACTGTATGGAAGTACATAACTTTTTCTTCTGGAGTCCAGTTTCTTCTGGAGAGTTTTGGGCCAAAAATGTTTTTAAGCTGCCCTGGTCTGCCTTCCCAATATGCGACATGCTCTGAGGCGAATCAACAAAATGGGATGCTGCTTTCCTTCTTGATGGAAGATGGATTCTAATCTTCGCTTACCTCTTTTTCTTTGTAGCTAAGTAGAATCCACCATAACAATCAATTTCCAGCTCATCTGGTCCTTGTGATTCCTCCTATGGTCATTGAAATGCTGCCATTGCTTTGGGCCTGCAGGCTAGTGTCAGTGCTGCTGGGGCAGCGACCTGTGGTGTTCATGTGGCTGCTTGCTGTGGCTGGGTGTGACTCCCTGCTGGTGCCAACACTGCTTCCCATGAAGTGTGCCCCGCTGGGTTGGCTCCTTACTGAGGGGCACTTCTACCAGTTGCTGTGGCCTCACTCCCTGTGAAGTTCTTTCCCAGTGGGCACACAAAGACTCTTGTTGAAAGTCATCTGTACCCCTTTACTAACTACTGAAGTTCTAGCCCTTGTTTCAAAGCCCCTTAACTTTGAGAACGTAACTCTGGTAGGGAGTTTATAAAGCCCTTCCAAAGGGCCGACAGGTAGAAAGACGCACTGGTACTGATGTGCTGTACCCTCGCTGGTAAAGCCTGCGAACCTCTCAGATCTTTCAGGCACTTGGTCATCTCATAAAGTGGACACTAATGCCTCAGGATTTCCCTTCCTCCTCCCACGCCCTTCAGTTGAGGTTAGTCGGGAGGCTAGCCAAGGTTGTGAGCATATTCTTTGAGTCTGGTTTTCTTGGGCCTGAAAGTGTGATGGGAACAGATGAAGAGCCTCTCAACTAAACTCGTGAAAGCTTGAGTCTTAGGTCTTCCCCTTAGTGACAGGTCATCTGCTCCTGTCTTCCAACAATGTTCATCTCTCATGGTGGGATATGTCTTCCTCTGACAATGTCCCAAATTCCTTGGGACTCTGGCACATCTAGTCCTGACCTTTGTGTTGGTATAGGTGATGCCAGGTGATGCTATGGTAACACCCCTCCCCCAAAATCTCAGTAGCCTCACACAACGGAAGTTTATTTGTCACTTACACAAAGTCTCCATCTTGTGGCTATAGCATCTGAAACACATGCCTTCTGTATTAGTTTCCTAGGGCTGCTGAAACAAGATACTGCAAACTAGGTGGCTTAAAACAACAGAAATTTATTCTCTCATAGTTCTGGAGGCTAAAATCTAAAATCAAGGTGTCAGCAGGGCCATGTTCTCCTGAAGGCTCTAGGAGAGGCTCCTTCCTTGCCTCTTTCTAGCTTCTGGTGGTTGCCAGCGATCCTTGGCATTCCTTGGCTTCTGAATGCATCACTCCAATCTCTGCCTTCACCTTCACATGGCCATCATCCCTGTGTCTCCGTGTCCAAATTTCCTTCTTCTTATAAGAACACCAGTCCTTGGATTATGGCCCACCGTAATCCAGTATGACCTTATCTTAACTTGATTACACCTGCAAAGACCCTATTTCCAAATAAGGTCACACTCACAGGTACCAAGTATGTTAGGACCTCAACATATTTTTGGGGAGAGACACAATTCAACCCATAACACACTGCAAAGTTGTGGCTGAGGAAGAGAGAGATGGAAGATGCCACCCGGCTCTTAACAGAAGTGATACGTGCTAGTTTGTTCATAGTCCACTGGCCAGAACATGACTAACATAACTGCAAGGGAAGCTAGTAAATTCAGGGGAACACATGGGTATTCGGTGAGAATTACCTGTCTCGGTCACATCCTTGCCCCGCTCATTTCCTCTGATCCCAGAATGCTCTGGGACATACATGAGGCTGGATAGTTTCTGTATAATGTGAAATATCTATCAAGGAACATCATGTGATCCTGCAAAGCATATTGAAGGAATAGACTTGGGAAACTGCTCAAAGAAAAGAAAGAAAATAGTTTATATAATCTGTAAAACTATCCCATTTTTGTTTGGTTCTTTGGTTCATCTTAATCCAGAGAATGCAAAATGGCGGTCAAGAAGTTGGATCTAGTCCATAGATGTTTTTTCTGTGTGGCCCACACAATGTTTAAGAAATGTGAACAAACATCTAGATATCTTTCCTTGAACAATTGGAAGATGTGACAACATCTGGGCCCATGTTTCCACGGAAAACCAGTAATAAAGAAATCAGCCAAATAAGGCCTGCTCCCTGTAGATAGTCGCATCTCTGCAGTTTGCTCTGATCCCCACCATTCCCTATAGTATTGCCAACACTGAGGCTGAGTATCAGTTCTCATTCGTCCTTGGGCTTTCACCATTGTTTTCATGTAGTAGAGATTTTTTTCCTTATACTTGACTCTTTTTACTCACTTACTATACCTGATTGTCCTCTGCAGGCGTTTATGTTTGTGACCTCAATTTTAAGTAAAATCTGCATTTTCGTGTATCTTATCACATCCTGGTGCTTCTAAGGGATTAAACACTACCCAAAAGCATCACCTTGAACTCATGTCTTTGAGGTTGATTCCTGCTATAGCCATCTGTACAGGAAAAACTCACTGCTCCTGTGTTTCCTTTACTCTCACACTGCTACCACACATTAGCAGATGTGTGGGTTTTCCACACATTAAGCAATTTTGTGACACCAGCTGGGTGTCCTACAATTCAACTTAATTCTGATACCATCTGTCTAGAGATGACATCATATCCCACAGGTTAGAGGATCAGTCCCACAAACTCCCCCCGCCCTTAGATGCTAATTGCAAGTCCAGGTTGTTACCTGTGCTTCTGACTGATGGGCTATAAATCGGAGGTTTCCACAAATTCCTCCTTGGGTTTGATGAATTTGCTAGAGCGGCTCACAGAACTTGGGAAAGCATTTACTTACTAGCTTACTAGTTTATTATAAAAGGATATAACTCAGAAACAGCCAGGTGGAAGAGATGCATAGGGCAAGGTATGGGGAAAGGGCGCAGAGCTTCCACGCCCTCTCCCAGGGCCACTCTCTCTGTGTCTTCACGTGTTCGCCAACCTGGAAACTCTCCGAGCCCCATAATTGAGAGATTTTTATGAAGGCTTCATTACTAAGGCATAGTTGATGAAATCGTTGGCCATTGGTGATTGAACTCAATCTCCAGTCCCTCTCCCCTCCCCGGGGATAAAAGTTTCACTCCTCTAATCACAAGGTTGGCTTTCCTGGCAACTAGTCCCCATCCTTAGGTTACTCAGGGGCTTTCCAAAAGTCACCTCATTAAGATAAACTCAGATGTGGTTGAAAGGGGCTTGTTATGTATAACAAGACACCCATTTCACCTTTATGGCTCTGAATTTTAAGAACTGAGGACAAAAGACCAAATATTGTAAAAAAGATATAGGAAACTACGATCTTTAGGAGATAAGTGCCAGGAACAGTGGATGAAGACCAAATAAACATTTCTTATTATAACTCACAATGTCACACCATCTGCAATAGTCATGATATAAGGTGAATAGTTGACAAAGGCCTGAAAATACTTATAATGGGGATAGGTGGATAAATATTTGCAGTGAAATACTTGAAACAGAGATAGTTGCATAAATTTGGATATAATTAGAATAGTGTGTGTTCACTCAAGTAAATCCTTACTGATACAATTTTTTGTGCTTTTTCTCCCCTTTATAGACCACTGGAACGATCCAGTGAAGATGTGGATATAATCTTCACACGGCTGAAAGAAGTTAAAGCTTTTGAGAAATTTCACCCAAATCTCCTTCATCAGATTTGTTTGTGTGGTTATTATGAGAATCTGGAAAAAGGAATAACATGTAAGAAATGCAACTTAAGTGGTATATTTTCACGTATGGTTTGTGCTCATTTGTGGTTATCCTATGGGGATAGAGAGCACGTGGGGCATTTATGTGCCAAATATTTGAGGTTCAACCAAACGTATTAAGTTGACATTTTCCTCTACTTTATTTAGTTCTGTGTAGCATTTCCTTAACTTTGTTCACAGCATGTAAATGGTTCTTCCAGGGCAGCCTACTTTCTGGATGGAGCTAGAAGGACGTACTGATTCATATATTCAGCTATATCCTTACAAATTCAACTAATTATTTTCTCTATCTCAAGAAATATATGAACCAGTAGGATATTAAATAAAGATAAAAGGACTCTTAACTAATGCTAATAGTAATGTTTTGAATTAACCTGAGTGATATCGTCTATTCCAAGTATGAATAAGGGACATGGATAGTAAAACGATAGAGTGACAGCTGCATTAAAAAAATGCATTTTCTCGTTAAAAAAATAATGCTTTTCCATCTGTGGGATGCTTTATGCTGCACTAACAGAAAACGCTCATCCAACTGGCTTGATGAATCAATTACTCATACAAGGAGGGAAAAATCAATTACTCATATGCAAGAAGTCCTGAGGTAGGATGGCTTCAGAGTTAGTTAATTAAGTGACTCAATGACATTATTAAGGTCACAGGTCCCTCCCATCTTGTTTTTTGTTTTTGTTTTGCTATGCCTCCTCAGGTGTTGGCTTTTGTTCTCAGACTTGACCCAAATGATTCTAAGACAGCTACAGCAATTAGAGGTATTACATGCTGATACAACAACATCCTGGTGAAGCACTATTTCTTCTTGTGTCTCTTTTTCAGAAGTCTCCCAGGAGACTTCCTATATTGTTTCATTGGCCAGAATTGCATCATATGCCCACGTCTAAACCAATCACTGGCAAAGAAAATGGGATCACCATGATTGAATTAGACCAATCATGATTACCCCAGTGGAGCTAGGGAAGAAATGCACATGCTCTGAGCACTTGGCCCTGTGGAGGATGGTGGAAACTTGTATAAAATCTGGGTTCACTCAGATAAGAGGAAGGGAGGGCATGATGCTAGGTGGGAACCAATGGGTCTGTCACGACACCATTGTAGAAAATTTAGAAGACAAACAAAATAGAAATCACCTACAATCTCCAAACTCAGAGAATACTGTTAACACTTTGTGTGTATCCTTCAAGATGTTTTCCCATGTGTGCACATGCAAACATAGTCCCACTGCTATTAAAAAAATCATCCATACATATTGTTTTCAAACCAATATTTGTTTTCTTACTGAATCAGAAACTTTATTCTTTTGGGGATGAGACTCTTATTTTCTGTTTCTTAAAGCCATTTTCCAAATGAATCTTCTGTGATATGTAATGTGAATTTGATTGGCAAGTGATGATGTCTTTTGGAGCCAAGAAGTTCATGAAAGGCAAAGCCCTAACTTTAAAATAAGTCACTTACAAAGGGTAGGAACAGCACAGCTACTGGAGAGGCCAGCTATAAACTCATCAGTCCCTCCTCTCAAGCTTATCATGGAACTTGGTAGGATGCCATTGTTGCTCTTTGCCTTTCCACAGCGTGTCTTATTCAGGGAGTTTAGAGCAGCTTGTCATCATTAATTATGGCTCCCAGAAGCTTGCTCTTATGCCATGAGCACTAGCCTTGCCAGAACTCAAGTGTCCCACTGACTTGTCATGTGATTTTTCATTGACTCACTTGACCTCTGACTCTAACTGTGAAAAGAATTTAAAAATATCAGATCATTCCATCTGGTTATTTAGCTAGGATATTTAAAAGGATAGTTGGGTTTGTATGAGATTTTAGAACCAGTGTTTCAGAATGACTTTCTAAAGTACTTAATATAATATGAAAACTAAGGTTCTATCTAAATATCTAAATGTTTTCTCTCTGAGGTTACAAAAGTAAAGCAAAATCAGATTTGGAAATTTATGATGAGAGTTGTTTCTAAAGAGTAGTTAACTCCTAATGCCTAAAAGGAGTGAATTTATAAAAAACAAGAAAATGGACAATGATAATACAGTAGTCAAAATTTTTAAAGTAGGTTTTCTTTTTGTTTTGTTTTTTTTTTGGTGAGGAGATGAGCCCTGTGCTAACATCCGCCAATCCTCCTCTTTTTTTGCTGAGGAAGACGGCCCTGGGCTAACATCTGTGCCCATCTTCCTCCACTTTATATGGGACGCCGCCACAGCATGGCTTGCCAAGCAGTGCGTCGGTGCGCGCCCGGGATCCGAACCAGCGAACCCCGGGCCGCCGCAGCAGAGCGCGTGCACCCAACCGCTTGCGCCACCGGGCCGGCCCCGGTTTTATTTTTCTTAATCACTCATTGGTTAGCTTAAAAGGAGACATTCTATCCTAGAAAACACATTGCTTTTAATATAAATAAATTTAGAAAATTGGGGTGATGGTCTGGTACTTTGTTGAGTCAAATAACCTTGTTAATATGTACCCATATAAAGTAATAAGTTACCAGGAATCACTATACAATGAAATGTATTTAAGATAAATTACATGGAACATCAGTCAATTCTTCTTAAATTCAAAGGATCTTATAGCATTTAGGGTTATCATTCCTTATTAGTGCTCTGTAAATATAAAAGAGTTCTGTAGTTCCATTTCATAGAACGTTGAGTAAGTTGGATATAGCTTTGTTGATAGATGAGGAAAAGAGAAATATGTGATGATCTTGTGAGAATAGATAGAGGAAGGGTGGTAAACTCAGCTAGGTCCAAGTCATGCTTATACAAACCAGTGAGAAACTTTCAGGTCATACGATAAAACCGACTTATATTTGGTATATTTACATTACTATTTTTCAGTATTTCGCCAGGGTGATATTGGAACAAACTGGTATGCTGTCCTAGCAGGGTCTTTGGATGTTAAAGTGTCTGAGACCAGCAGTCATCAGGTAAGATACCTTATTTTTTTTTAAGTAGGATTTATTATTGTTGTTTTTAAAGACACATTATGCCTATGTCTTTTATGCCATTAAAATTACATTTTCAAACCCATTTCCTCTTTCCCATAGCAAGAAGTTCAACAAGTGTTTGTTGAATTCTTTTATAAAGTCACTCAAGAAACATATATAATGAATGTCTTCCATGACTTGAGTATTAAGCCAAATGTTGAAACGTGAAGCACAAGAACACATTGCCTGCCTTCCCAGAGCTTGCCGTCTATTGGGAAATGCAAACAATTCAATTGCAATGTGATAAATTGCTATTGTGTAAGGTGAAATGAGAGCAAAGGAGCAGGAGAAGCAAGTCTTCCTAGGTTTCTCCTCAGATCCTTCCTCTGTCTGGTCTCCTGACTTTTCTTCGTCCTAGAAGTGATCCCCTCATCAGCCTTGTAGGAGCTCCAGTGCTGCAGGGGAAGTGTGGTTGATGCAGTCCCCCGAAAAATCTCTCACTGTTTCTCTACCTTATTGTTTCAAATGTGGAAAGGCCAATAATGTATATATTTTTTCTAAAGTGCAGCACTGGCTTCTTTTATCTTTATTAGTCACCTGTGAGGAGCTTGGCATCCTAGTAGACAAAACTCATATTCTTTTTTTGCCCCCTACAATATTTGTAAGTATTTAAAAATAGGGCCGGCCCCGTGGCTTAGCCGTTAGGTGCACGCGCTCCGCTGCTGGCGGCCCAGGCTCGGATCCCGGGCGTGCACTGACGCACCACTTCTCTGGCCATGCTGAGGCCGCGTCCCACATGCAGCAACTAGAAGGATGTGCAGCTATGACATACAACTACCTACTGGGGCTTTGGGGGAAATAAATAAATAAATAAATAAATAAATAAATAAATAAATAAATAAGTAAGTAAGTAAGTAAGTAAGTAAGTAAGTAAAATAAAATTAGACGCAGCAGGGCCAGCCCAGCGGTATAGCAGTTAAGTTCACATGCTCTGCTTCGGTGCCTGGGGTTCGCAGGTTCGGATCCCGGGTGTGTGCTGACACACTGCTTGTCAAGCCATGCTTGGCGGTGTCCTATATAAAGTAGAGGAAGATGGGCATGGATATTAGCCCAGGACCAATCTTCCTCGGCAAAAAGAGGAGGATTGGCGTCGGATGTTAGCTTAGGGCTGATCTTCCTCACACACACACAAGAAAATTAAATTTAGACTCAGACACTCTTTTCATATCTGCAGTGACCTTTGCTCCATCATTATTCTGTGAGGCCTAAATGTACAGTGTCTTCTTGGTTGGAGCCAAGAACCTTGAATCTCAAATGTACGGCCCCTAAAGGCCCACCTTCAAGCCTCAAGATGAAGATGGTCCATGTTTTCTATCCAAATAGTCAGGATTCAGATAAAAACTGAAGGAAGGGAATTGGCTAATTGTAAAATGGGAAAGAATTATCAAGAAGAATCAAAGAATCAGTTAAAGGGAGAAATAACTTACAGCCAAGTATCACGTTTAAGACAGTGCCTCTTGGCCTTTTTCCTATGTAAGAAGCATTTATGACACACTCAATTTGAGATTTAAATTTTGCAGGAACTTGTGTGCATATTGGAGTTGTGGGCAGTCACCACCTAAAAAATGGAGAAGTTCCCCAAAAGATTGTTGGTAAGGTGGACATTTGGAGTTGGGATATAGTTGCCTGTGTTATGCCCATTGTTATGGATAGTTATGGATAGTTAGAGTCTCAGGCCAGTGCCCAAGAGCTACTTAACCTATAGGATACTTTTTCTATGCATCAGTGCATCAAAAGTTTCATTAGAACCTGCCTGGAGCCTGCACCTCCCAATCTTGATGGGACCGTCTCTCTTCCCCTCTCTCACCAGGCCAGTTTTCTCTTGGATTTTAGAGAGGGCCAAGGTGAGAGGTGGGTTTTGATTCTTGTAAGCTGCCTCAGTTTCCCAATGAGATTGAGAAGAGCTAGCATTTCTTGGATGTGTGCCATGTGCTGGGCAGTGTTCTAAGCACCTAACAGGTATGTATTTACTCCTTGAATCCTCGCAACAACCCTGTGGAATAGGTCATATAACTGTGCTCATTTTATAGATTAGGAAACTAATCTCCAAGTGGTTAAATAACTTGCCCCAAGTAACGTATCTAGAAATTCAGGGAACCAAAATTAAAACCCAAGCAGTCAGGCACTTGAACATATGCTCTTAGCCACTGCTCTGTACTGTTGACTCAGGAGAAACATGACGCAACATGCAACTTCCCCCTCTCTCTGCCATTTCTCATCCTTTCAGATAACCCCTGTCCCTTATCTATGCACACCTTCTGCCTGCAGGCTGCTGTCCTGGTGGGTACCCTCTGGGCCCCCCTGCTCAGAGCTGCTCCTGATACTTTCCTTAACCAGGTCTCACCTGCGTGAATGTGCAGAGGGGACAGGGCCTAGAAGAGGATGATTCTCCTTGTTCCTCTGAGTGGCCCTGAATGAGTAATGATGGAGAGAGGGGAGAAGTTGAAAAGAGAAAGGTGAGGAAAGAGACGAAAGGGCAGGAAGATGAGAATTAAGGAGAAAGGGGGGAAGGAAAGGAAAACCCAGAGAAGAGAGAGGAGGAGAGAAGAATAATAAAAGAAGGCAGAGTAGGTGTACCTAAGGGATGATAAGCAACGTCAGCAATGAGGTGCTGACACATCAGATGTTAAAAGCTGGCGTGAGATTTGGTTGTATTAAAATAGTATTTGGCCAGGGGCTTGCAGAATATTGCCCTGGACCAATTATCTCTCACCATGAGGTGCTAGCAAAGAATAGCTAATAAAACTTTGTTAGCTGTGTTTTTTGTTTTTTTTTTTAATTTTAGTAAACTTTTAACTCTAGATTTTAGCTGTGATTTTGACCTCAAACTCAATGCAGAGCACTTTCCTTAATCTGAGCTTGATCTTCTCTTAATTTATTAGGAATTATGAGCTTTATACCAAAGCTAGCTTACTGCCTCCTCTGAGTACTTTACCCTACAATGTCCAACTGGAGTTTTCTGGATTGATTTGTATAGTTACTAAGATATAAGGAAGAGAAAGCACATTGACCTCTACATCCTCCATCCCTCCAGAGAGTAACCTGAGATAGACAGAAAGCCAGCCTTTCAGGAATCTCTGATGGGCGGGACATGGGTCCAACCACATGGGAGGAAGAAGCTAAGGAGAATGAACAAGGTGGCTGAGCCTCCCCCTATGGCAAGCTGCTTGAATGGGAGAAACAAAAAAGCCATATTTACCTGCACTAGCCTTGTAATGGGCTCTGGGTCTCTGCCTATTAGTGATGTGGCCAAATCAGGATAATGAGTTAGCCAATCAGAGTAGTACCCTGTTTAGGTCAGGGTTCTCCAGAGAAACAGAACCAATAGGAGATAGATAGACAGACAGACAGAGAGATAATTTTAAGGAATTGGCTTATGTGATTGTGGGAGAGCTGGCAAGTTTGAAATCTGTAGGGCAAGCTAGCAGGCTGGAAGTTCAGGTAAAAGTTGATGCTGCAGTCTTGAGTCCAAAAGCTAGAAACTCAGGCAGAATTTCTATGTTGCAGTCTAGAAGCAGAATTCCTTCTTCTTTGGGAAACCTCAAGGGAAACCTGTTTGCTCTTAAGGCCTTCAACTGATGGGATGAGGCCCACCCACATTATGGAAGATATTCTGCTTTACTTAAAGTCTATTGATTCCAGTCACATCTAAAAAATACTTTTACATCAAAATATAGATGAATGTTTGACTAAACAACTGGTTATCATAGTCTAGCCAAGGTGACACATAAAATTAACCATCATATACCCCAGTGGGGAGCAAAATGGGGTTGGGTAATGGGCCATAGGAGGAGAAACTAGGAAAGACCTGGAATTCCTACTTCTAGAGATCAGCAACAACATTACCAGGTGCCTTAATTGTGTCACACTGTGCTAGGGGTTCTGTGTACATTTCCTGACTTCATCTTTAGGCATTCATGTCCTATTTTACAATTAGGCTTGAAAATAAGGCTCCGCGACATTAGGTGAAACTTTCCCAGAGCCACACAAATGTATGTGACCAAATTTAGATTTGAATTCAGGTCTGACATACTCCAAATTTCATGTTCTTCCTGCTGCTCACACAGAAAAGAAGGTGGGCAGGCGACAGTAAAAGAAAAAGAAGAAAAGTTAAAAGAGACTAAGAGAGAATTAAAGAAAGAGAAAAGAGGTGACAGCATAGAGTCAAGTGTTTAAAAGTGGGTAGGGAAGAGTTTCTTGCTAGCCTCCCCTCCATTTTTGTTCCTCAAGTCTCTCCCTGCCCTGCGTGCTTGCTTTCTCATCTGCGAGTCAGGAGTCAGAGGAGATGGTGGTGGTCACTTCCCAAACTTTTCTCTGAGTTTCAGCCTCTCAGTGGGGTATTAGCTGAGACTTAATGGTGAGATAAGAGCAGGAATAGCTAATGGTCGTGGAGCGCCCACTACAGGCAGCTATGTGCAAAGCACTTTACAGGCATTATTTCCCTACACTCCCCTCCCCACTTTAGTGCTATTATTAGTCTCATTTCACAGGTAAGATGCTAAATGACTTGCCCAAGCTCACACAGCCACTAGGTCTCAGAGCCAGTTCTTTGTGATCCTAGGGCTCAAGTTCTTGACCACTATGGTTGTACAGAAGCCGTCCAGAGAGTGTGAAGGGGAAAGAACAGAGTGAGGGCTGAGCAGTTTAGGAATAATGAATGTGGGGAGAAGAAGCTTTTCCCTTGCAGCCCCCCTAACCGCCTTCCTACATTTCTGATGCCAGCTCAGAGCTCCGCACCTCCTCACCTCCAAGTCCATCTTGCTGGTGTTCGCTCCACCTGAGGCGTGCTGTTGGGGAAGGCCCGCTTCTCACACTCCGCGGGGCTGCCCCTGGGGCGCGGGGCCCTCATTCCACCACCTTTTAGATCTGGAGATCCACCTTGAATGGGTGTGGCCCATCCCTTCAAAGGGCTTCTAGGTTAGAAGGTGGGTCAGATAAGT